CAGCCTGGGGAATATAGTGAGACCCTGTCTCTACAAAAAATAAAAATTAGCTTGGTGTGGTGCCACACATTTGTAGTCCTAGCTACTCAGGAGACTGAGGCAGGAAGATCGCTTAAGCCCAGGGGTTCAAGGCTGCAGTGAGCTATGATCACGCTACTGCAGTCCAGCCTGGGCGACACGGCAAAACCTTGTCTAAAAAAGTAAAAATTCTGAATATCAAAAATACCATAAAATTAAGATGTTAGAGATGGATTGAGAAAGTATATGTACAACCTTTGTTATAGAAAAATAACAATTACAGAAATTGTAAAGACCTGCAAACCAGTGAGAAAAATACAGCTGAATAGGAAAATACTCAAAGGATATTAACTAATACTCAGAGAAGAAATGCAAATGGATGTTAAGCATGTGAAATTATGCTCAAGATAATAGATATTTAGGAAAATGTGAATTAAAAGGACAATCTGGGCCAGGTGCAGTAGCTCACACCTGTGTGATCCCAGCATTTTGGGAGGCCAAAGCGGGTGGATTGCTTGAGCTCAGAAGTTCAAAACCAATCTGGGCAACGTGGCAAAAATCCGTCTATACCAAAAGTACAAAAATTAGCTGGGCGTGGTGGCATGCGCCTGTAGTCCCAGCTACTGGGGAAGCTGAGGTGGGAGGATCACCTGAACTCAGGGAGGTCGAGGCTGCAGTGAGCTGTGATTACACCACTGCACTCCAGCCTGGGCAACAGAGTGAGAACCTATCTCAAAACAAAACAAAAAAAGGACAATCTTTTGTTGAGTCTTATACTGGCAATAATTACTAATACAGACGGTCCCTAATTTATGACGACTCAACCTATGATTTTTTTACTTTAATTGATGGTGCAAAAGCAATACACATTCAGTAAAATCTGTACTTCAAGTACTCATACAACCATTCTGTTTTTCTTTCAATATAGTATTCAGTAAATTACGTGAGATATTTAACACTTTATTATAAAATAGGCTTTGCATTAGATGATTTTGCTGAACTGTCAGCTAATGTGAGTGTTCCGAGCATTTCTAAGGTAGGCTAGGCTATGATGTTTGGTAGTTTGGATATATTAAATGCATTTTAGATTTATGGTATTTTCAACCTATGAATTTATTTGGACATGACCCCATTATAAGCTGAGAAACATTTGTACACAGTGTGCATGAGGGTGTGGGGAAATAGATCCTGTCTTATGTTTGATGGGGGTATAAATTGGCCCAGCCTTTTTGGAGGACAGTTTGGTGGTACATCCATTAATGATATAAAATCTCATATCCTTCTTTTGGCAATATCAAATGTTTAAAATCTCATACATTTAATCAAATAATTATATTTACAGTAGAATATCCTAAAGAAATTCTTCTACCTGTTGGCAAAGCTGTATGTGCCAGATTGTTCATTGTAAACTTGCTTTATTAGCTCCAGATCCAGAACTCATAATATGAAGCAGTTAAAAAGAATGAAGCAGCTTTAAATGTACTGATATGTAGAGCTCTTTGAGACATAACTGTAAGTGAAAAAAAATCTAGTTGCAAAGCAGTATGTTAATTATGATCCTGGCCAGGCGTGGTGGCTCGTGCCTGTAATCCCAGCACTTTGAGAGGCCCAGGTGGTTGGATCTCTTGAAGCCAGGAGTTCAAGATCAGCCTGGCCAACATGGTGAAACTCAGTCTCTACTAAAAATACAAACATTAGTTGGGCATGGTGGTGCACACCTGTAATCCCAGCTACTAGGGAGGCTGAGGCATGAGAATCGCTTGAATCCGAGAGGCGGAGGTTGAAGTGAGCCGAGATCGTGCCACTGTACTCCAGCCTGAGTGAAAGAGCAAGACTCCATATAAAAAAAAAATCTCATTTATATATTTTAGTAAGACATGTATGTGTATATTATGTGTACAAAAGGTTAACACACCAAACTTAAAATGGAGAGGTAACTGTGATTTGGGTAAGGATAGAGGAGTTAAAGTAGTACTAGTGCTTTTTCTGGGTTTGAATTTTCTTTTCTTTTCTTTTTGAGACAGGGTTTCACTCCATTGCTGGTCTGGAGAGCAGTGGTGCAATCACAGTTCATGGTAACCTTGAATTCCTGAGCTCAAACAATCCTCTTGCCAAGTAACCTCCCAAGTAGCTAGGACCACAGGCGTGCACCACCAAGCCCAGCTATTTTTTTTTTTTTAATAGACAGGGTTTCCCTATGTTGGGAAACCTATGTAGGCTGGTCTCAAACTCTTGGCCTCAAGTAATGCTCTTGCCTCAGCCTCCCAAAGTATTGGGATTATAGGCGTGAACCACCACACTTGGCCTTGGGTTTGAATTTTATACTAGAATTGTACTCTTGTGGAATTTGTATGTAAAATAAACAGCAAATAATAAAACACCCCAATTATCTTTCCACCGGGATACACAGACCTAACTCCACCAGCCACATTGTATAAATATAACATGATTTATTTCGTCTCTCCCCTATCAATAGCCATTTTTTGTTGCGTCAGGTTTTTTTGTTTTTGTTTTTGTTTTGACAGAGTCTCATTCTGTCACCCAGGCTGGAGTGCAGTGGTGCGATCTCGGCTCACTGCAACCTCCATCCCCTGGGTTCAAGCAATTCTCCTGACTCAGCTTCCCGAGTAGCTGGGGTTATAGGCGCCTGCCAGTGCGCCCGGCTAATTTTCGTATTTTTAGTAGAGACAGGGTTTCACCATCTTGGCCAGGCTGGTCTTGAACTCCTGACCTCGTGATCCACCTGCTTTGGCCTCCCAAAGTGCTGGGATTACAGCCACCGCGCCCGACTGTGTCAGTTTTTTAAAACCTTACAAGCACTGCAAAAAAAAAAAAAAAAAAAAAAAAAAAATTCTGGTATATATATCTTTGTGAAACTGTGTAGGTATATAGGTTGGCTAAATTCCAAGGAATTGAATTATTGGTCAAAGAATTTGTGAAATATTATAAAAAAGGTTGCATCAATATCTGCCTCCAACAGAGTAGATGAGTGCCCACTTCCTGACAAACCAGTCAACAACATTATCAAGTTTCTAAACTTTGAGAAAATCATACTTGAAACATGGTAAGGCATAGTTGTTTTGATTTGCATTTCTGTGTTTGAGCATCTTTTCATATGTTTATTAGTAATCTGTATTTCTTTTCTGTGAACAAATCTGTTCCTGTCTTTTGGCACATTTTTCTATGGGGTTGTTTATCATGTTACTAATGATATGTAAGAGCTTTTAGATTATTACAAGTTAGCTTTTGACAGTCAATGTTTATGGGTTTTTTTTTTTTTTACTTTACCAAAGCTTAAAATTTTTATTCAATTAATTTATCAATATTTTCCTTTGGTGGAGAAAGTGAGTTCGTCACTGGCAACTGAGTTCTGAAAAGTCATTAGTAAGATTGTAAGGCACTAGGACTTCCTTCCTTGGCTCTTGAAAGGGCCTCCTCCACACAGGGGCCCCTCACAGTGGAGCCCCTCCCTCTGAGGTGTCATTTTTCAATGTTCTAAGAAAGAGGCTGCCTGGAGGGTCTATATTTGGAGTATTACTCCTCAGTAGGGACAGGTGGATGCGTGGGGACTAACTTCTGCATATTTGGTCCTTGAGTTTTGGGATTATTCTGAGGGACTTGTATGGAAGCTGCAGTGAAGTTGTAACACAAGGCAGGACATGAAAAAACTTCTTTTTCTTGGCAACTGCTTGGGATCCTGTACATTGCCCTTCCACTTGTGAGGGAAAAAAAAAATGACACAGACATTAGGTGTGTTGCAGTGATTCACAGTCACCCACAGACCCTCACCACCATCTCCATTTGAAAATATTGAACACTCGCCACTGCTAGGGTAATGTGTAGTACATGAATGGCAGACACCGGCGAGATCTTAAGTGTTATGATGGATGAAAATTCCACCTGTTAAGCCTCCTTTACATCCAAGCTCTTGCAGTTGGTTGTTCCATGGGTGCGGTGAGGCTGATCTGATTACATGCTTATGTAAAATCCAAATAAAGCCCCTCGAATGGAAAACAGGTTAATTTGGGAAGTCACTAGTAAAGCAGGTTAATTTGGTAAGTCACTAGTAAAGCAGTAGGCTCATCAGGAGTTGGGTCTTATATATATCCTCTAGGAGTCTTCTCTGAAGAAGGTCTTAGACACCTGAAAAAAGACGCTGAGTTCAGCCAGAACCTCAAAAGTTACAAATCACTTGTGTAAAATTGTCAAGATTAGAAAACGAAACCTCTTTCCAAAGATTAATTTATAGATTATATTGAAAACGTGCTGGTTTTGTTTAGGACAATTTTGTATTTAAAATGTCAAGAATTACTAGTCTGTTTTAAAAACTGTGAAATAGTTTACAGTAACTAGAAAACATTTTAAAATGTGGCACAAAATAATGTAAACAAAAGAATGAGTCTTTTGTTATTTTTATGCCCTGAATATTTTTTGTGTCAAATGAAAATGGCTATACTGTATTTTCTGATTACAAAATTATAAAAGAATGTCATATTAAAAGAAAAAAAAAGGAACACAAAAAAGAAAGTTAAAGCTCTACTTGCACCTTCTGCTTTCCTTCCTGATACCCCCTTCCACGGCCCATTTGGTGCAGGCATTGTACTTAGAGAGGGCATGTCGTGTAGGGGGCGGGTGGGGAGTGCTGGTCTTACAGCCTAAGAGAGAAAGAAAGGATTACTCAAAGAAGAAACGGAAAAGGCCACAGTCAAGGTCCGGGAGTGGGTAGGGGGATGCAGACCCTCCCCTGTAACTGAAGATGGGTAAACTCCAACCGCAAGGCGATGATGCCACTTGTGGGCCCTCAGATTGGAGAGGACTGAGATGAGTGACAAGGGCGTGCGCACTGGGGCACCGAGCACAGACCGCAGAAGGGGGATGTCTGTGCGTGCGGAGTGGAGGAGGGGGTAGTTCCTGGTGACTGGCCGCCAGCCTTTGGTGGGTGGTAGGGGGTGGTGGGGAGGAGGACGAGCTCGGCGGTGACGCGCGGTCCTCACGTGACCCGGAGCTGCAGAGCTACGCAGCCTTCGGTGCAGTCGTCACTAGCGTCTGGCTACCAGCTCCCCGCTGCCCTGCGCTCGGCGGGCTGGCATCGGGCCCGGGGATAGCGGAGCAGGTAAGGGCCCCGGGGCCCACGCGTCCTGGCCAGGCCAGCAGAAGCTCACTGAACCGGGCAGCGGTTTCGGGGCTTGAGGGGACGGTGGTCTATGCTGCCTCAAGTTCGAGGAGCCTTTGCCTCTGATTCTCCCTAGCCCCCCTGCCTCCGCCTACATCTGTGCAGGCGAACTGTGGGCTTTGATTTGTGGGGAGATTGTCTCCGCCAGAGGAAAATACAGAGATTGAGATGCCCATCACTCAAATCACTGGCCACACATGTCCGCTCGCTTCCTGCTCAATTTAGTGGAAGGGATGCGCCACGGTGGCGTTTGCAGAGAAAATGGTGGGCCTTAGAGACTGGACGGTGGGGTTGGTAAGGGTGGTGTCTCAGACTGTGGGGAGGGACGTTTGATAACCAGGTTCCTGAACCCGGAAAGGCGAGTATTGGGATCTATGTCCTGGGCTCTAGACCAACACTAAGTGGTTTTACTCTCTCCTGTCTGTCGGACGGTAGTTCGGTGTGGAACTGTTTGCGGCGAGGAGAAAGGAAGGAGAGGAGAAAACTGCACTGGATCGCGGAGGTTAGTGGGCGTACAGGCACTATCTGAACCTTTGGAGTTCTATATAAATTCTACGACAGGAACTTAGGTGCGGTTGTCTGATTGGGATGTGGGGTGGTGCTAGCTTGGGGACTTTCCCTAAACTGCATTTTACTTACCAAGCTTAGGACTTTTAAATTGTATGTTGAAGATCAATAAAGACAGCAAACTTTTCTACAGATGCTTTTATTTGCATTTCAGATAATATTGAGAAAAGATAAATTGTATTAAATAATATTACTTTTTTTTTTTTTTTTTGAGATGGCCTTTGGCGGGGAAGGATAGTGATTTTGTAGAAGCAAAAGGCTTCCCCTATAGCTTTTCTCTTCTGCTGGAGACTCCTAGAGATAAGTTGAAAGGGACGTGGACAACGGTAGGCTGTGGTTCTAGAGTATGGGATCTGGGGGCTCCCATCTTTCCTGCCATCCTCCAGTTTTCCAGATCCCTCTACCTACCTCACCATCTTGGTGAAGGAAATGGTGGGCTTTTGGGGAAATCCCTAGAACCCTACAGGTGGTTTTAAAATAATTTGCCTTGTCGGGCCCAGTGGTTTTTGCCTGTAATCCCAGCACTTTGAGAGGCCCAAGCAAGAGGATTGCTTGAGCTCAGGTGTTCAAGACCAGCCTGGGCAACATAGCGAGACTTTGTCTCTACATATAATTTAAAAATTAGCTTGGCATGGTGGCACAGGCTGTAGTTCCTGCTGTTCGGGAGGCGGAGGAGGGAGATCTTTTGAGCCTGGGAGGTCAAGACTGCGGTGAGCCATGATCGTGCCACTGCACTCCAGCCTGGGTGACAGAGTGAGGCCCTGTCTCAAAATAAATAAAAAATAAAATAAAATAAAATAAAATAATGTGCCTCTGTCTGTTGCCTTTTACTTTTCCTGCCTCACTTTTCCATCCTTCCCATTTCAGTGCTGGGGAAGCCACAGGCTTTTTTTTTTTTTTTCTGCCAGCAAATGGGTCTCTAAATCCAGACAGGCAGGTACAGGGACCTATGTCTTAGATGGTAAAGTGTCACAAGTACTTAACATCCACTCTCTTCTTTTTCTCCATCTGTTCCAAGGTCTTCCCATAGGCCTGCAGTAGGGCTGTTTACCGTTGGAAGCAAGGGAAAGAGGAGGAGACCAATCTAGAAGGATGGAGGTTGGTGTGAAGCGGGGATAGTCTCTGGGGATGACAAGAGAGGGTGGGCATAGGAGGTGGCTGAGATTTAACAGGATCTCAGTGGAGTGCTGGATTGCCACAGTGCTGCCTTGCCTCCTGTGGATTTCAGTGCAGGAAATGATAGGAATATGGGGGTAAGGGTGGGCTGGAGTATGACTGGGGGAAGACTTGATGAGGGGACCATGAGATGGTACACATTAGTATATTGAGCCTGGGCTCTGGCGAGGCAGACATTGGGGTCAGGGATCAGGGTGCTTGTCTGTTCTACCAGAGACTCGGTTTCCATTACCTACTCTTTGTTTACTTGTCTGTAGATCTGCCTGCATATCTGCTACAGGGCGTAAGATCACTGGAAGCAAAGAAACAAAGAGGAGATTGCTCCTGATCAGTATAGACTGGTAAGAGTGTGGGGACTGCCTGGGTAGACCTCTAGAGTGGGTTGGTGGAGACCAGTGTGCATCCAGTAAGGACCAGTGACCAGTCTGGAGGATGAGGATCCTCAGCCTCTCCTTTTCCAGCCACCTTTCCCACCATCCCTGTCACTTACTCCATACCCTCACCTTAATTCTGGTACAGGGAAAAGAGTGTGACAGCGTCTTGGGGTGGACTGAAGAAAGGTAGTTTGCTAATAATATGCCTGTCCCATCAAGAACAAACTCTCTACTCCCATCTGTCCCTCCATCTGTCTGTCTGTCTCTCTCTAGGTCCAGAGATCTCATGAATTTATGTATCTACTTTAGGGTGTATTGCCAAGATAAGCAAGAGGAGAGGAGGGAACTGCCTCGGATCATTACAGGTTGGTATGAGGGTGCGGCCCTGTAGACAGGTGACCAGAGTAGGTCCAGTAGAAATCAAAGTCTGGGACTTCTCGGTTGCTCCCATTTATTGTCAGACCTCCTACCATCCTTTCCACTGTTCATTTGGTGTATGGAAATGTGTATAGAAGTACCTTGGAAGAAAATTATTGGGCATTGGGGAAGGTGGAGAGAGGATGAAATAAGAGGAATGGAGAGGCTGCTAATCATCCTCTCTTCCACCAAGCACATGGTTCTACCCTTTTCTGTTCCTATATGTATCTATCTGTATGATGCAACAAAATCAGAAGAGAAATTTTAGTCCATTTCCTTCCTTCACTTCTAGGTCCACCTCCAGTGGCAGCTATAGTGGCCTTTGAGTGGCTGAAGACCAGCACCCTCACAGGCCTACACCCACAACTACCACTCTCTTTACCCCAGCCCAAGTGTGCTCTACCATACCTTGTTCGTGCTTTCAGCAGGGGTGATTACATGGGCCGCACTCAGGAAGTGGGCTGGGTGACTGCAGGACTGGTGATCTGGGCTGGCACCTGCTACTACATTTACAAATTTACCAAGGGAAGAGCCCAGAGTGTGAGGACACTTGCCAGAAATGGATCCACAGTTAAGATGGAGACTGTGGTTGGGGTACAGAGCCAGACCTTGGCCAAAAGTGAAGCAGAGATTAAGACTAAACCCCAGGCTGAGATTGGAGCAGAAACTGGAACAAGAGGTGGGCCTGGGGCTGAAGTAGAGACCAAGGCCACTGCTATAGCCAGACACAGAGCCAACTCTCAGGCCAAAACAATGGTTGAGGCAGAGGCAGAGACTCAATCTGAGTCCAAAGTGGTGGCTGGAACACTGGTCATGACAGAGGCAGTGACTCTGACTGAGGTCAAGGCCAAAGCCAGAGAAGTGGCCATGAAAGAAGCAGTGACCCAAACTGATGCTGAGGCTGGCAAAATAGTTAAGAAAGAAGCAGTGACGCAGACCAAGGCTAAAGCTTGGGCACTGATTGCCAAGACAGAGGCCAAGAGAGAAGCAATGACCCAGACCAAAGCTGAAACTCATATATTGGCTGAAAAAGAGACAGAGATTAACAGAGTAATGGTTACACAGAGTGAGACCTTGGCAGTACCCAAGGAAGTGGTCAAGATGGGGGCCACGAACAAGACTGGAATTGTGGATGAAACCAAGACAAGAGCTCTGGAAGAGACTGTGAGTGTGGCTAAGACTCAGTCTGAGGCCAGGCCTGGTGCCACAGTTGATGCTAGGGGAAATCCCAATGGCATGTCCAGGGAGGTGGCTGGAGTGGACATGAAGTCCTGTGCACAGTCTCAGGCTGTCACCAAGATCAAGGGTGATGACATGCCTGGTGCTGGGATTGAGGACATGGGGAATTGCAAAACCATGTCTAGGGCAGAGTCTGGGGCAGACACGAGGGCTTCTGCTCAGCCTCAAATTGTTGCCAAAACCCAGACTGAGGCCATTCCTGGGGCAAAGGTTGATGCTGGGAATAACGCCAATGCCATGTGTAAGGTGGGGGCAGGGGCAGATGTGAGAGCTTGTGTACAACCTCAGACTGTGGTCAAGAAACAGGCTGAGGTGACGTCTGGTGCCGGGGTTGATGGTAGGGGAAATACCAATGTCATATCTAAGGTAATAACTGGAGCTGACATGAGAGCTGCTGCTCAGCCTCAAGCTGTTGCAAGCGCTCACGCTGAGGCCATGTCTGATGCCAAGGTTAAGGACAGAGGCAATCCCAATGCCATGACTAAAGCAGGGGCCAGGGCAAACCTGAGGACCAACTCCCAGGTTGAGGCCTTGCCTGATGCCAGGGATAAGAGCAGAGGCAATCCCAATGTTATCGCTAAGGCGGGGGATGGGACAGACATGTTGTCCTGTACACAGCCTCAGCTTGTGGCCAGTGTTCAGGCTAATACCTTGTCTGATGGCAGAATTAAGGTCAAGGGCAATGTCAATACCATGCCTAAGGAAGGAGCTGGGGTGGATATGAAGGCTCAAGGTATGGCCCAGAGCCAGGGTGAAGCCTTACCTAATACTAGAGGTAAGGCTAGGGGCAAAGCCAAAGCCAAGTGTAAGACAGGGTCTGGGATGGACATGAAAACCTGTACTCAACCTCAGACTGGGGTCAAGACCCCAGCTGAGGCCTTGCTTGATTCCAGGGTTGATGGTAGGGGCAATCCTAATGCCACTTCTAAAGCTGGGACTAAGGCAGACCAGAGGGCCTGTGGTCAGCCCCTGGTTGTGGCCAATCCCCAGGGTGAGGCCTTGCCTGGTGCCAAGAACAAAGTCAAGGGCAATCCCCATGCTGTGCTTAAGGTGGGGGCTGGAGAAGGTACAGCAGATTCTGCCCAGCCTCAGGCAGTGGTCAGTTTCCAGGGTGAGGCCTTGCTTGGTACCAAGAATAAAGTTAAGGGTAATCCCAATGTTGTGCTTAAGGCAGAAGTTGGAGCAGGTGCAATGGGCACTGCCCAGCTTCAGATTGAGGCCAGTTCCAAGGGTGAGGCTTTGCTTGATTCTAAGAATACGGTCAAGGGTAATTCCAATGCTGTGTCTAAGGCAGGGGCTGGGACAGATACAACAGGCTCTGTCCAGCCCCAGATTGTGGCCAATTCCCAGGGTGAGGTCTTGCCTGGTGCCAAGAATAAGTTCAGAGGCAATTCCACTACTGTGCCTAATTCAGGGGTTGGGCCGTATACAACAGACTCTGCCCAGCCCCAGGCTGTGGCCAATTCTCAGGGTGAGGTCTTGCCTGGTGCCAAAAATAAGGTCAAGGCCAATCTTAATGCTCTGTCTAAGGCAGAAGCTGGGATGGGTGCAACAGGCTCTGTTCAGTCCCAGGCTGTGGCTAATGCCCATTGTGAGACCTTGCCTGGTGCCAAGAATAAGGTCAGGGGAAATTGGAATGCTGTGTCTAAGGCAGGGGCTGGGATGGATACAAGGGGCTCTGCCCAGACCCAGGCTGTGGCCAATTCCCAGGGTGAAGTCTTGCCTGGTGCCAGGAATAAGGTCAAGGGCAATCCCAATGTTGTGTCTAAGGCAGGGGCCAAAGAAGATACAATGGGCTCTGCCCAGCCTCAGGTTGTGGCTAACTCCCAGCGTGAGACCTTGCCTGGTGCCAGGAATAAGGCCAAGGGCAATTCCAATGCTATTTCAAAGGCAGAGGCTGGTAAGGCAGGGGCCAAAGAAGATACAATGGGCTCTGCCCAGCCTCAGGTTGTGGCTAACTCCCAGCGTGAGACCTTGCCTGGTGCCAGGAATAAGGCCAAGGGCAATTCCAATGCTATTTCAAAGGCAGAGGCTGGGGCAGGCATAATGGGCTCTGTCCAGGTACAGGTTGTGGCCAGTTCTCAGGGTGAGGTCTTGCCTGCGGCCAAAAATAAGGTCAGGGGCAATTCCAATGCTGTGCCTAAGGCAGAGGCTGGGGCAGATACAGTGGGCTCTGCCCAGCCCCAAGCTGTCGCTAATTCCCAGAGTGAGACCTTGCTTGGTGCCAGGAATAAGGTCAAGGGCAGTACCAATACTGTGCCTAAAGCAGGGACTGGGGCAGGCACAAGGCACTCTGCCCAGCCTCAGATTGTGGCCGGTTCCCAGGGTGAGACCTTGCCTGGGGCAAGGGACAAGGCTATGCCCAGCTCTGAGGCAGAAACCACAGAAGAAGATGAGGTCTATGCAAAGCCTGAGGCTCAGGCCATGCCCATTTCTGAGAGTGAGGGTGGGTCAGGCACTCAAGCCTGCAGAAAGACTCAGCTTAACATCCATGACTACTACTGGAATGGGATTGGTGTTGAAGATTGGATTGCTGCTGAGCGGTGGATCAAATTTAGATTTCAGACCATGGATGGAGACTGGGAAAATAGCGTGTCCTGGGCTGATGATGAGAATGAAGCCAGTATTGGGTCCTGGAGTGGGGCTAGTGATAAGGCTGGGATTATTAGGTCTTGGGCTGTGGCTTGTGATGAGGCCAGTGTTAAGTCCTGGGCTGGGGCCAGGGCTGAGAATGAGGTTGGTATTGGGACTTGGGCTAGAGCTGGGGAGCAGGCCAGTGGAGGGCTCTGGGCTGGGGGTCAGCCTAGTGAGGGGACCTGGGCTGGGGACAAGGCCAGTGGAGGGGCCTGGACTGGGGCTGAGAACCAGGCCAGTGGGGGGTCTTGGGTTCTCGCTGGGAATCAGGCCATTGGAGAGCTTTGGGCTGTGGGTCAGGCCAGTAATGGGTCCTGGCCTGGAGGACAGGCCAGTGGGGTGTCCTGGGTTGGGGCAGAGGCCATTGGAGGGTCCTGGACTGGGGCTGAGAACCAAGCCAGTGGAGGGTCTTGGGCTGGAGCTGGGGCTGGGAATATGAGTAGTGTTTCATACTGGGCTGGCGTCGTGGATCAGGCCAGTGGAGGGTCCTGGGCTGGGACTAGTGATCAATCTGGTGGTGGGTCCAAGCCTAGATTTGAGGATCAAGCCAGTGGAGAAGGGTCCTGGGCTGGGGCTGGTGACCAGGCTAGTGGAGGGTCAAGGTTGGGGCCTGAGGACCAGTCCAGTGGAAGGTCTTGGGCTGACACTGCAGACCAAGCCAGTGGAGGGTCTAGGCTGGGCCATGTAGATCAGTCCAGTGGTGGGTCCTGGGCTGGGACACTTGATCAGTCTGGTGGTGGGTCCAAGCCCATATTTGAAAATCAGACCACTGAAGAAGGGTCTTGGGCTGGGGCTGGTGGCCAGGCTGGTGGAGGGTCCAAGGTGGGGTCTGAAGACCAGTCCAGTGGAAGGTCATGGGCTAACTCTGGGGACCAAATCAGTGGAGGATTCTTAGTTGGGGTTGTGGACCAGGCCAATGGAGGATCCTGGACTGGGGCTGGGCATCCTGCTAGTGGTGGGCCAAAGCCTATATTTGAGGATCAGGCCAGTGGCAGAGGGTCCTGGGCTGATGCTGGGGACCAGGTTGTTGGGGACTCTAGGCTGGGGCTTAGGGACCAGTCTAATGGAGATTCCTGGGCTGGCACTGGGGACCAGGCCAGTGGATGGTTCTGTGTTTGCCCTGGGAGTCAGACAAATGGAGGGTCTTGGGGTGGGGCTAGTGGCCAGGATGTTGGAGGGTCTAGGCCAGGGCCCACGAACCAGTCCAGTGCTGGGTCCTGGGATAGCCCTGGGAGTCAGGTCAGTGGAAGCTCCTGGACTGGGGCTGGGGCTGTGGATCAGGTTGGTGGTTGTTCCAAACCTGGATTTGAGGATCAGGCTATTGGAGGGGGGTTCTGGCCTGGACCTGGGGACCAGACTGGTGGAGGCTCCAGGCCAGGGTCTGAGGATCAGTCCAGTGGAATAGGTTCCTGGGGTATGGCTGGTGGCCAGGTCCTTGGGGGAGCTAGGCCTGCAGACCAGTCCAGTGGTGGGTCCTGGGCTGGCACTGGGAATCAGGTCAGTGGAAGGTCCTGGATTGGGCCTGGGAATCAGGCTGGTGACTGTTCCAAGCCTGAATTTGAGGATCAGGCTTGTGGAGGAAGCTCCTGGGCTGGTGCTGGGAGCAAAGCCAGTGGAGAATCCTGGGCTGGATCTACGCCTGGGAATGAGGCCACTGGAGGGTCTAGGATGGGATCTGAGGACCAGGCCACTGGAGGATCCTGGGCTAGATCTGAGGACCAGGCCAGTGGAAGGTTCCAGGTCAGTGTTGAGGTGGAGGCCAACGAAGGATTCTGGTTTGGGCCTGGGGCTGAGGCCGTTATAGGGTCTTGGTGCTGGACAGAGGCGAAAGCTGATATTGTGTCCAAGCCTGATGATAAAGATGAGGCCACTACTGCATCCAGATCGGAGGCTGGGGAAGAGGCCATCATTTGTTCTAGGACTGAGGCTGAGAACAAGGCTAGTAGTGGCTCTTGGATTAGATCTGAGGAGGTGGCTTATATGGGCTCCTGTGTAGGGGCTGAGGCTGAGGCTGAGGCTGAGGCTGGGGCTGAGGCTGGGGCTGAGGCTGAGGCTGGGGCTGAGGCTGGGGCTGAGGCTGGGGCTGAGGCTGAGGCTGGGGCTGAGGCTGGGGCTGAGGCTGTGGCTGAGGCTGAGGCTGAGGCTGGGGCTGAGGCTGGGGCTCGGGCTGGGGCTGAGGCTGGGGCTCGGGCTGGGGCTGAGGCTGGGGCTCGGGCTGGGGCTGAGGCTGAGGCTGAGGCTGAGGCGAGGGCTGAGGCTGAGGCTGAGGCTGGGGCTGAGGCTGAGGCTGGGGCTGGGGCTCGGGCTGGGGCTGAGGCTGGGGCTCGGGCTGGGGCTGAGGCTGAGGCTGGGGCTGAGGCTGGGGCTGGGGCAGAGGCTGAGGCTGGGACTGGGGCTGAGGCTGAGGCTGAGGCGAGGGCTGAGGCTGAGGCTAGGGCTGGGGCTGAGGCTGAGGCTAGGGCTGGGGCTGAGGCTGAGGCTGAGGCTGAGGCTAGAGCTGGAGCTGAGGCTGAGGCTGAGGCTGAGGCTGAGGCTGGGGCTAGGGCTGAGGCTGAGGCTGGGGCTGGGGCTGGGGCTGGGGCTGAGGCTGGGGCTGGGGTTTGGTCCTGGGATGGAGATGCAACCACTGTAGAGTCTAGGCTTGGGGCTGGGGAAGAGGCTGGTGTAGAGTCCTGGACCTTGGCTAGGGATGTGGGAGAGGATGAGCTAAGTAGAGAGTCCAGCCCCGATATTGAGGAGATCAGTTTAAGGTCTTTGTTTTGGGCTGAGAGTGAGAACAGTAATACGTTCAGATCTAAGAGTGGGAAAGATGCCAATTTTGATTCTGGAGCTGGGGATAACACCAGCATCGAGGATAAGTTTGAGGCTGCTGGTGGAGTTGATATAGGGTCTTGGTTCTGTGATGGTAATGAAAATACAAATGAGGACAAATCTGCATCTCAGGCTAAAGCCAAAAAGTCATCTGAGTCAAGAGGCACATATCCGTCCATGGTCCCTGGGGCAGGAATGGGGTCATGGGATGGAGCCATGATCTGGTCGGAAACTAAGTTTCCACACCAAAGTGAGGCCAGTTTCCCAGTTGAAGATGAGTCCAGAAAACAAACCAGGACTGGGGAAAAACCTCGGCCCTGGTCTTGCCGCTGTAAACGCGAAGCTAATATGGATCCACGAGATCTTGAAAAACTCATTTGCATGATTGAGATGACTGAAGATCCTTCTGTTCATGAAATAGCCAATAATGCTTTATATAACAGTGCTGATTATCCTTATTCTCACGAAGCTGTTCGTAATGTAGGTGGAATTTCAGTTATTGAAAGCTTGCTCAATAATCCCTACCCCAGTGTTAGGCAGAAGGCTTTAAATGCACTGAATAATATCTCAGTGGCTGCTGAAAACCATAGGAAGGTTAAAACTTACTTAAACCAAGTATGTGAAGACACCGTCACCTATCCCTTGAATTCAAATGTGCAGTTGGCTGGACTAAGATTGATAAGGCATCTGACTATTACCAGTGAATATCAGCATATGGTTACAAATTATATTTCAGAATTTCTTCGTTTGTTAACAGTGGGAAGTGGAGAAACTAAAGATCATGTTTTGGGAATGCTTTTGAATTTCTCTAAAAATCCATCTATGACAAAAGACTTGCTCATTGCCAATGCACCGACATCACTGATTAACATTTTTAGCAAGAAAGAGACAAAGGAGAATATTCTTAATGCTCTTTCACTATTTGAAAATATAAATTACCATTTTAAAAGAAGAGCAAAAGCATTTACCCAGGACAAATTCAGTAAAAATTCCCTTTATTTCCTATTCCAACGACCTAAAGCATGTGCCAAGAAACTTCGAGCCTTAGCAGCAGAATGCAATGACCCTGAGGTGAAAGAGAGAGTTGAACTATTAATAAGTAAACTCTGATTTGCTGTATGTTCCCAAACAAATTTGAGTAACATTTTGGTTTTGCACTCTGGAAGTAATGCACATTGTAAATTGCATTATAACTTCGAAACTGATGTTACCTATGATGGTCTATAGCCAGACCATTTTATGAACACCAAATGAATTCAAGCTTGTACTAAAAATACATGTGTTGATTTTTATCTTGTCTGGATTGAGATATTTTTAGTATGCTTCATGAGCAGAAACTGAACGGATTCTTCATAAGTAAGGTAATCTTTGGTCCTTTGTGTGGACTTATGTTTATACATTTAAGACTTTATTTTTATGTCATCAATAAAGTTGTGTGTTTTAAGCAGCAGAAAAAAGTTATTGTCCTTGTCCTTGAGTTTATGATCTGTTTGGAAAGGCAAGATATATGGAAACAAAAAGATAGTAATAAAACTGGGAGCTTCCAATCATGGCCAGATGCCTCCTATCAGTGTTTAGAGGTGGCAAAAACTGCTTCAGGCAACAGTGCTCAAGGAAAGTTTTACAAAGGAGGGGGACCCTTAGGTAAGCTGGAATTCAAGGATACAAAAGGATCAAAAGGGCACTCAAGATGGAAGGAGTGATGGGAAAAAAGGCATGGAGATGGGAATCCTTCTCCAGAGAGAAGTGCTGGCCTGCTGGAATGGAAAGTGTAGGGAGGGTAGTGATGAGAGAGAGAGTCAGGCGGTGAAGGTGAGTCCTGTTCGTGGAGCACCCCTAACTGCTAAACTGGGGTGTCTGAATATTACTGCATCCACTCTTGGGAGACATCAAGGCTTTTTGTGACCAGAGGAATGACAAGATGAAAGGAAACGATACAGTAGATTTATGTGCAGCAGGAGTCCAAGCTGGGGTGGGGATAGGAGTGGTGACTGGAGATTGGAAAAACAGGAAGCTACCACAAGTTAGTCCAGGCATGAGATAATAAAGGTGTGAAGTTTTACTGGTGGCCATGGGAATGGTAAGGAGAGTATGGATGTGAGAGGCCCTTTGAACCAAAAAGTGCTGAGATGTATTCTGGAGACATACAGAGAGGACCAATTTTATTTTAGGGTCCTTGGGGTATTTGACAGAAAAATGTCCTCTTGGCCAATTCTGATATCCATGTAAGTGAACAGTTACAACTTTGAAGTAATAAGAAAGTGTACTAGAAGAAAGAATAAGTTTTAGTGCTTGTATCAGATTTCCTTTATAAGGTTGGTTAAGGTGGGGCCTTTATGGAACCATAGAGAGTGTTGTTGGGGTACACATAAAAGATCTACCTCTCTCCCACGCCTTAGTGAGGGTGAGGGTGTCAGGGGAGGAGCACTCTCAAACTGCTGGTGGGAGTATACACTGGTACAAGGTCCATTGGAATATATGCACATCCATTGACCCTGTAATTCCACTTGTAGAAATGTATCTTTAGGAAATAATCACATAATTGGCTTGTGGAAAGCTGTGCATCTTCAAACTGTTTGGAAGGGTGAAAAATTGTAAATGACCCAAGTATCTCAAGATAGGCAGTTGGCTAAGCAAATTGATGTGTGTCTACACATTTAAATATTATGCAGCTATTGAAAATGTTGATGGACATCTACGTGTGCCTACATTAGAAATTCAGCATATAATCTTAAGTGGGAAAAATAGGCTGTAAAAGCACATGCCATACTTTTAATGAAGAAAAAGTATATATCTAAATTATCTTGCTACATACTCTGAGAATGTTAATAGTTTTCTGTGGGTGTTAGACTGATGGGTGATTTCATTTTTTTTTTTTTTTCCTTTCTTTTGAGACGGAGTCTCACTCTGTCTCCCAGGCTGGAGTGCAATGGCGCGGTCTGGACTCACTGCAACCTCTGCTTCCTGGGTTCAAGCGATTCTCCTGCCTCAGCCTCCCGAGTAGCTGGGATTACAGGTGCCTGCCACCACACCTGGCTATTTTTTTTGTACTTTTAGTAGAGATGGGGTTTCACCACGTTGGCCAGACTAGTCTTGAACTCCTGACCTCAGGTGATCTGCCTGCCTCGGCTTCCCAAAGTGCTGGGATTACAGGCGTGAGCCACCACTCCCGGGCTTATTTGTTTTTTACGTAACTCTATTTATGATATTTATATAATAAATGAAATTTTATGCATAATTTACCAACAAGGAAAAGGATGGATTCATACTAGGCAGGCTTGGTCAATAGTATTTGAGGGACCTGGAGCAAAAGCATAAATGGAGGCTCACGTATTTATGTCTACATATTTGGAAAATATAACTTAAAATTTTAAATAAATATTATTTGTAAAGCAATAAGTGTTTTAAAATTTAAATCTTATTAGGTATTTTAAAAATGAAACCATTCTCAATACTAGCATTCGATGGCCACCAACTTACTCTACTGTAAAAAAAATGGTGTCACGCTTGTAGTAGATTCTGCCATCTGATGCCCTGATCCCCCTTCAGGAATGAAAAGCTTATTATTTTAATTGCCAGGAGTGCGGCAAGTACACAGTCCTCAGCTGTCAGGCCTCTTCAGGAATTTCCTCAGCTGAAGAAAGCCACCTCCCCCAAGGTTACACCCCCTACCTGGGGGTATTTCACATCCAATTACTGATGGATATGGCTTTCTTGCCCCAAATTGGGACAGCTTCACTCCTCCCTCTGTCCAATCCTGCTTCCTTCTTTTCCCTTCCACAGGTGTTGATCCCAACAGCATTCCCTAGTAAAAACCCTTCCTGCTGAACTCTGTCTCTGGGTCTGCTTCCTGGGAAGCCAACCTGCAACAGTTGGTTCAAGAAGTGGTTCGAGAAAGCAAACACTGTGATGAAATTTTGGAGATGAATCACCTGCTACTCAGCTGTCAATGAAGACCCGTCATTGGTGGTAGGTGGAGTAGATAGGCCTCTGGAACAAGGTAGCAGAGGAATTGTTAAAACTTTCAATGTGGTTAACTGGGGTGGCATACAGGTAAAAGGGGACACATTAACTGGTGCCATGTATCAGACCTTTGAGAAATATGGGAAATATTAAATATAAGGAAGGCCAGAAAATTGGGTGGCTGTTGCTAAGTGGATTGAGCTCTAGAAAAGAATAACAAAAAGCTGAATTAAATTAATCAACAATTGAAAGCTATGTTTGAAAGCCAGAGGGCTTTATTCATAACATATAAAGAGGTTTTCATCTTTTCCAGGTAAATGGTGGAGGAATCTGAGGAGTAGACTCAGGATTTGTTAAAAGAAAGCTTCAAAGAAAGTTAAAATTCTAACCAAGACAAGTCTTCTATGCCAAGTTCAGTGCCATGGTTAAGAAGGAATGGGACTCTGACACTTGGGATGGGGACATCTGGATTGATGTCCCTAAAAATTCTTATATTCCCAGATTCCCCTGAGCCCCTTGAGAAGTGTCCTACTCCTCCCTATTAAGGGCTGGCACTCCATCTTGCTTCAATATATGGAATCCTTTTCCCTGTAAGATAACCTGGGTTTCCCTCAGAATCTGCCCTCACCTCCTATCCTGGCCACTGGGCCTATAACTAGGATTAAACCACAGCATAATCTAGCTGGCGATGTGCTGGGTGTAGTAAGGAAAGAAAGAGAATACACCAACAAAGAGTTTCAGGATGTAACCTAGCCAGCATGTACCAGAAGGTGCTGAGGGAATAAGTATGGCACCAAATTCTGAGGAGCTCGATCAGGAGGGCTGGAATATAAACTTGAATATAAGAGAATTAATCAAGTTGAAAGTGCTCTCCCAGAATACAGGATTTAATACCCTAGAAAAAAAACACAGGAAATGACATGAACTCATTACTACGATGGCTCCTCAAAGTATGGAAAAAGCCATGGCCTACATTAAGTGAGGTGTAAATGCCAGAGTTGCCATAGAAGATGGTGGAAAAAGGGATCAAAGACTCAGAGAGGTGAGAATTATATAATAAACCTATTATGTAAGGCCAGAAAACCCTCTAGAAGATTATATTCTGCAGGAGGATCCAAAGGACAAACCATTTACCACAGCTATAAGGAATATTCTGGTGAGAGGGACATGCGAAGTTCAGTAGTGGATCTCTTCTGCATGCCAGGGCTCAGAGTAGGAGAGCATCTTATGGAACAAGGATCACTGATAGAAATGATGATGCCTCTGAAACAATAGAGGCAAGATGGCTGCACTTAACTGTCAGAAGTCAAGTGGATGTAAATACCACAATGCACTACAGGGTCAGAGTGGCAGGTGGGGAGGCCTGACTTGCAGAGAGCTATGGAGATGGTTAATAGAACACAGTACCCCTAGTGGGTAGATGGTTAAGAGACAGTTAATAGGACATGGACAGTCAATACAACATAATATCCTGGGGGGAAATAGGCAGCCAACAATTTGCACTCTATACAAACACAAGAAATGAAAGGTGGTCAAAGGTTTGAGGGAGGTTGCCTCAATAAAAAGTCATAATTACTTATCCAGCTTCTAGTCTCAAGTCAGGTTTTGATCCACAACACATGATTTGAAGGAAAGGCTGAGTGCCCAGGAAGAAGGACCCTACAACGCAAGTGTAGTAATGATTTTTCTAGTCCTTCCATTTACTCAGGTAACTGTGTACCAAGGAAAGAGAAATACTCAAACATTTTGAGAACAGATGGACACTGGTTCTGACTTGATATTGATACCCAGAGACCTAAAGTGTCTTAATTGGCCCCCTTATTAGAATGGAGGCACATGGGAGCCAAGTATTAAAGGGGATCCTGGCCTAGGTAGGGTTCACAGTGGGCCCACTGAGTTCACAGACCCACTCAGTGGTTATGTTTTTGATCTCTGAATGTATACTTGGAATAGACATAGTTGGTTAGTTGGTACAAGCCCTATAGTAGTTCTTTGGCCTGTGGAGTCAGAGCTATTTGTATATGAGAAGGCCAAGTGGAAGCTTCTGAAACTGTCCTCACCTTCCCTGGCCAAGATAGTAAATGAAAACATATGGCATCTGTGTAGTGGAGGATGGCAGAAACTATTGCCGCCTTTGAAGACCTAGAGAATGAAGAGGTGTGGTCTCCATCATATCTTCATTTAATTCACCAGTTTAACCTGCAAAATGTGGACAGAACCTAGATGACACTAGACTACTGAAAACTCAGCCAAGTAGTAAGACAATTGCAGTGGCATACCAGATATGATATCTTTGCTACAGCAGAAAGCATGGCCTTAAGTACCTAGTTTTCAGCTATTGATTTAGAAAATGTGTTTTTTTTTCCTATCTGTATCATAATGGAAAGTCCATATTCACACAGAATGGATAACAGTATGCATACACAGTTTTTCCTCAGTGCTCTACTAACTTTCATGTCCTCTGTCACAATACAGTCTGAAGAGATCTGGACCACT